AGCCGAAGTCAGCCGCCCAACCGACTGAGCCACCCAGGCACCCCGTAAGAGACTTTTAAATATAAAGAACAAACTGAGGGTTGATGGGGAGGTGGGGGAGAGGGGAATGGGTGGTGGGCATTGAGGAGGGCACTTGTCGGGATGAGCACTGCGTGTTGTACGTAAGCGATGAACCACGGGAATCTACTCCCGAAACCAAGAGCACACAGTATGCACCCTGCATGTTAGCCAATTTGACAATAAATTAGATTTAAAAAATGATAATAAATTTTAACATTTCTCCATTAAAAAAAAAAAAAAAGATGAAGGAAAGAAAATGACCTCTGACCTAAGTTGTTGTCCTCAACTGTAGACGGTTGACTCCAGAGCCCAACAGTCTGGATTTAAGTGCTGCACGTGTGACCCTGACCAACTCCACTGGCTGCTCCGCTGTCCACGCTTCTGGCCGTAAGCGGAGACACTAACGGATCCCACCTGGCCGGGTCACCGTGCACTTTGAATGGATGATTGCAAAGGACTCAGCGCAACGTCTGGGACAGGGGAAGGGCTCAGTCAAAGCCAGGGAGGTGACGTGATTTCTCTGAAGACACATGGTAAAGGGGAGAACTGTCCCCGGTCAGAGGCAAGCCCCAGCCAGGGCATCTCCCAGCAGGAGCAGCCCCCGAGCCCTTCTGGGGACACAGATCTACCCCCACGGTATTACAGGCGTGGCTTAGAGCAGGGGCTGGCCAATTCCGGCCCACTGTTTCACGGGTCTTGAGAGGCACGGTATTACATGCGTTTGACATGTCTGAAATGGGGATGCGTCTGAGAAGCCGCACCAACTTACAATGAGACCCGGCAGCATCTTTTTCTTTTTCAGCAGCCCACAAAAATAATGGGGTTACCCAATCCTGTCTCAGACGTGATAAACTATGATAAATGAGACACGCCTGTGTGTAAAGCGCTTAATATGTGCAGGACACGCAGCGAATCCTTGGCTACTTTTTTGATCTCCTGAGATTCCACATCTTGTGCGGTCACCCATCACCCTGCCCGGTGTCTGGGTGTAAACAAAAAGTTACTTATTGGGGCGCCTGGGTGGCGCAGTCGGTTAAGCGTCCGACTTCGGCCAGGTCACGATCTCGCGGTCCAGGAGTTCGAGCCCCGCGTCAGGCTCTGGGCTGATGGCTCGGAGCCTGGAGCCTGTTTCCGATTCTGTGTCTCCCTCTCTCTCTGCCCCTCCCCCGTTCATGCTCTGTCTCTCTCTGTCCCAAAAATAAATAAACGTTGAAAAAAAAAAATTAAAAAAAAAAAAAAAAGTTACTTATTAAGGTTCGACGTGTTTTCTCCCCAGTCTCAGGTAACTCTGTCTGAAGTGAAATGGGTCTCCTGTCCCCCTGAAGGACAGAGCTGAAAAAGCAATGTGAGAGACTGAGAAAATAAATGAGTTTGTAGACTGGCATTTCTATCCCACCTCCCTGGAAAGCTATAAATCAAGGCTTTGAGTCCTAACGACAAAGCATCGAATAGGAGAAGCCTTGGGCTAAAATTTAAGAAGAAGAAGGGGGTGGGGCACCTGGGGGGCTGAAACATTGGTTTCAGCTCATGTCGTGATCCCTTGGTGGGTTCGAGCCCGAGTGCTGGCAGCTTGGAGCCTGCTTGGGATTCTCTCTCTCTCTCT